CCTCTCTATTATCCTGCCTCTCTTGGATACACAGTTCTCAGAATAAAAGGATTATGGAGGTTGTGCTGGGGTGTTGTCCTAGACGCTATCACTTCCCACATCCAACCAGTCATTAGATCCTGTCAATGCCCCTTCTTAAAGATTTTTTCTTCAATTGATTTATTCCCCACCGGTTGATACTAATGATTAAGAAAATGCTTCCCAGGTTGACCGCCTGGATTTAAGTTTTGGCTCTGCCACTTCTCTCTGACCTTTAGCCTCTCAGTGCCTCAGTTTCCTCATCTGTAATGTTAGAATATATGACAGTACCCGCCTCATTGGACTGTTGTCAGAATTTAATGAATGTATGAAGCTGTTTTAAAATATGTCCACAGAAAAAAATTAGTAAGTAAAATACGTCCACAGTTTCTTTGACACTCCTGTCACTAGGTGGAGCCTAATTCCTTTCCCCTTCAGTATAGGCTGCACTTCGTAACCTGCTTGTAGCCTATGAAATGCAGCAGAAGTGTTGCTGTGTGATGTCCAAGACCAGACCATGAAAAGCATCGAGGCATTCTCCTCCATCTCTTGTAGGTCCTCCATCATGATGTGACAATAGTAAAGCAGTTAATGGAGGGACCCAAATGGGGAAGAATCGAGGCCTCCTGACAACAACCAACACCGTGTGAGTGACCCATCTTGAAAACAAATATTTCAGCCTCAGTCAGATCAGAAGACCCTTGCAGCTTGCCAACAGGCTAACTTCATGAGATACCCTGAGCCAGAACCAGCCAGCAAAGCCATTGCCAGATTCTTGACCTACAGAAACTATGTCAGTGATAAATATTTGTTGTTTTAAGCCACTAAGTTTGGGGGGACAATTTGTTATGCGGCACCAGTAGATAACTAATACAGATGCGTAATGAATCTAGGATAGTGCCTGGCACATAGGAAGCACTATAATGTTTGCTATTATTGACGGTTTTTATTGTTACTGAAATGGAATATTTTACATGTTTTTTTTTTACAAAGGAGCACACTAGATATTTATGTAGTTTTTGCTTTTTATTTTTAACTTTTTAAAAATTGTGTTAAAATACACATAATATAAAATTTACATCTGAGCCATTTTTAAATGTACTGTTCAGTGGCATTAAGTACATGCACATGATTTTGCAACCAACCTCTAGAACTCTTTTTTTGTCTTGCAAAACTGAAGCTCTGTACCCATGAAACAACTCCCCGTCCTCCCCTCCTCCAGCCCCTGGCAGCCACCATTCTCCTTTCTGTCTCTGAATTTGACTATTCTAGATACCTCATACAAGTAGAATCATTTAGTATGTGCCCTTTTATGACTGGCTTATTTTATTTAGCATAATGTCCTCAAGGATCATCCATATTTGTGACGCATAGCAGAATTTCCTTCCTCTTTAAGGTTGAATAACACTCAATTGTATATACACGCCCCATTTTGTTCATTCATCTGTTGTTGATGGACACTAGGTTGCTGCCACCTTTGGGCTATTGTGAATAATGCTGCTATGAACATGGAGGTACAAATATCTCTTCAAGACCTTGCTTTCAGTTATTTTAAGTATATACTCAGAAGTGGAATCACTGGGTCATAGGGTAATTCTATTTTTACGTTTTTGAGGAACTGCCATTCTATTTTCCATAACAACTGTACATAACGTTTTACATCTTGCTTTTGTCACTCGGTGATACATCTCGGAAATTTATCCATGTCAGTATATAAAGATCTCACTCTTTTTCAAAAATTACTGTTTTGAAGTATAACATGTGTACAGGAAAATGGACAAGTCAAAAATAAAGAGCTGGATTAAATTTCATAAACTAAACTCGTCTGATAACCAGAATTCAGCTCAAGAAAAGAACAGGGGCAGCTCCCTGAGTTGCCTGTTGTGCCTCTTCCAAGATGCCCCCAAGCGTAAGCACTATCTGGACTTCTAAGAACATGCATTAATTGGGCCTGTTTTTGTACTTTATATAAAATCACACAGTATGTATTGTTTTGTGTCTGCTGCCTTTTGCTCAGAGGTCTGTTTGCAAAATTCAACCATGCTGTTGCTTGGGGCGGTAGAGCTTTCATTCTCATTGCTGTAGAGTTTCCTGTGTTTGAAGATGCTACAATTTATTTATCTATCTGTTGATGGGAATTTATCTTTCGAGGGACATATGTTTTCGTCTGGTTGGAGTGGAGTCGTTAGGTCATCGGATATGTTCGGCTATAGCAGACACTGCCCAGCAGTTTTCCTGGTCGTCAGTGTATGAAGTTCCCCCTCCCCCACATCCTCACCACCCCTTGGTGGGGGTGTTCTTTTTCATTTTAGCCATTCTTGTGGGTGTGTATTTGTATCAAATTATGATTTTAATTTTCATTTCCCTGATGACTAGTTGACTACCTTTATTAATGTTCATTGTTTCCCTGGATTTCCTCTTGCACAAAATTTTCGTTCAATCCTTTTGCCTGTATATGTGTGTGTGTATATATATATGTAATACATACATATATACCATATTCATAACTAATTGTTTTCAACAGTCAAATTCTAAGAACAAGGGTGGAGCCTCCTATATAACCATAATACCAATTTAACATTTTCTACAGTATAAATTTAACATTGATACAGAATTATCATCTAATTTATAGTTTATATTCGAATTTTCCCCATTGTCCCAATAACATACTTTATCACCATCCGCCCTCCATCCAAGATTACACTTGGTATTTAGTTGTCATGTTTCCTTACTCGCCTTAACCTAGAATAGGCCTGCCAGGTTTTTAATTTTTTTATTATCGTTTCATTTTTCGTGAGTGACATTTTAAAAAAATTAATTAATTTACTTTTTATGGTGACAGTGGTTAACGAAATCCAATAAGTTTCAGCTGTATGTTTTAACAGTAAGGCACATATATATTTACACTGTGTGTTCACCTCCCATAGTTAGATTTCTTTCTATCACCACATATTTGACCCCCTTTACCTCGTCTACCTCCCCACTTCCCTCTCCCCTCTGGTAACCACTATGACAGTGACATTTTTGAGGAGCATGGGCCAGCGGCTTTACAGAGAGTCCCTCAGTTTGACTTTGTCTCATGTTTTCTCATGATTAGATTCAGATGATGGATTTGGGCAGCAAAACCACAGAAATGATGTTGTGTCCTTCTCAGTGGAGATAAGGAGGTACATGATTTTAGTTTGTTCCATTACTGGTGATGTTAACTTCTATCACCGGGTTAAGGTGATGCCTCCAGCATTCTCCACTAATACTATTGTTTTCCTTTGTAATAAAATAAGTAATCTGTGGGGAGATATTTTGAGACTAGATAAATATTCTTTTCCTTATCACACCTGCATCAATAGTTTAAACCTCTGTTGATGATCCTGGCTGGAATCCTGTGTTTAATATTCCAGGATCATCACAAACCCTAAGAGGCCTGGGCCTCCTGTGACCCCCTGAAAGGTGTGGGGTTGGGGAGACTGTATGAGGCTGATGGGGGCCAGGGAGATCGGAATAGGAGATCCTCCTCTCTGGGGGAGGGCCTAAGGGGACGAAGGGACCCAGAGAACTCAGAGATTAGTAAAAACCGAGGCAAGTGGGAATTTGTGCCCCCAGCCCCCTAACATGTATTGAAGGCCTGCTTTGTGCCAGGTGCTACTCTAGGCCCTGAGGCACAGCAAGGAACAAAACAGATCAAGTCTCGGGCCCTCTGGAGCTGACACTGACTTGGGAGGATTCGAACTACAAACACCAGAAACACGTACAGCAGTCCCCATTGATCCCTGGTTTGACTTTCCGCTGTTTCAACTACTTGAGGTCAAACATGGTCTGAAAACATTAAATCAAAAATTCCAGAAATAAGCAATTTATAGGTTTTCAATTGCACGCTGTTCTGAATAGCGGGATGAAACCTCACACAGTCCCGCTCCACCCAGTGCAGACCGTCCCTTTGTCCAGCATATCAAGGCGGTATGCGCTCCCAGACCATTAGTCACTCAGTAGCCCTCTCGGTTATCAGATCGACTTGCATTCTCGGTTATCAAAGTGCTTGCATTCAAGTCATCCTTATCTTCAGAAGGTCAATAGTAGCCTGACGTTATGTCACAATGCCTAAGTCATTCACTGCGCTTCCCCTCATGTAGGTGTTTTATCATGTCACATCATCAGGAGAAGGAGGGTGAGTACAGTGCAGTGAGATATTTCAAGAGAGGCCACATTCACATAACTTTCATTACGGTATATTGTTATAATTGTTCTATTTTATTATTATTGTTGTGAATCTCTTACTGTGCCTCATTTATCAATTAAACTTTTCATAGGCGTGTCGAGAGGAAAACATAGTAAATACAGGGTTTGGTACTCTCCAGGGTGTCAGGCATGCACTGGGTGCTGGGAACGTATTCCCTGTGGATAAGGGAGAGGAGTGTGATATGTTTCATAGTGATAAGTGATTCGAAAAACCAGCCAGAGTGAAATTAAGGAAGTAGAGTAACAGGGTATCTCTCTGCTGGAGAAACAATCCTGCTCTCTCTTTCCTTTCATCTACCCCCCCATGGGTGTCCCCGCATGTCATCTGCCAGGAACTCTGGCTGATTCAAGTGCACTTGCAGACGCCATCTGCTCTCCCTAGGAATGGGTCCCGTGCCAGCTCCAGCGTCTGGACTCTTGGCACACAGCCCGGAGCCCTGGAGCAAGGGAACTCTGGCTGGCCCCACATCAGGCAGGGGAATCCTTCAGTTTGGCCGACTGGGACCGGTGAGATGGAGGGCTTTTGGGAAGGGAAAGCCAGTGCAAGCTGAGTGGGCTCCCTGAAGGAGGTGGAGGCCAGCAGGGTGAGGAGAGTCCCCTAATCAGACTGATGGAGATGGATATAAATAATAGAATTTATAAACATCACCAATCATGTTCAGAGCCTACTCTGCCAAGCTTTGAGTAAATGTTGGGACATTTTTATCTAACCTAATCTAAGTGGTTCACATCTAAGAGGCAGGAAATATTTACCCTGTTTTACAGATGAAAAAATTGGGGTTCAGAGAGGCGACAACATTATCTAGAGGTCACATAGCACGTGCCTTGAAGAGCCTGGGAAGGAACTCAGGTCGGTGTGAGTTCAAACACTGATTCATCACTACCTGCACCACCTGATAACCAGCAGTCACCCCACCCCGGTACACTCCCACCTCAGCCTCCTTTCTTTGGAAGCCCCCCACCTGGTCTTCTGCCTCTGCTTCCTCCCCTCCTCGGGGCCTACAAGGAATACAGCCCTGGGTTACAATCTGCTGGGCCAAGTTCTAGTTAACCTTGGCCAGCTGAGCACACGTCTCTGAGCCTCGGTTTCTCAACCTGCAAAATAGTGATAAAAATAGAGCTACGGAGAAGAATCAGTGCGATGATGATGCGGGTAGAGCACTCACACCGGGCCGGGTGTGGTCTGAACTCTGAACTGGTGGCCCTGCGGGCTCTCCGGCAAATACCTAACCTCTCGGCGCCTGTCCCCTCCTCTGTACAACCGGACAATAAGTGAGAATGCCTCTTAGGTCGTTCTGAGGACATGTCCCCGTGTGTGTATATATATATATATATATATA